AGTCTCAAAGTTCTACGCAACAGCTGTATAGGAAAGGACTTCTAGCTAGCACATCACTGTGTCTGGGACAGTGGAATTCCTACACATCACTGCATTTCTGAAAGAGTTGCTCAAGCACAGGATTGTCATGAAAACACAGGTGAAATAGTGTCATCCGCCTCACCCTGACTTGCAACAGGTAGTCAACATGCACAGTGCAGTATGAGAGCTCGTGTACAAAAGTTAAACCCTGGGACTGCAAGAAGCTGAAGCTCAACAGAAGCCAGAAAATGTGTTTTGTTGCACAGATCATTTTAGGTCATGTAAGACAATCATTTTGCTCTTTTGTCTGACATGTGTGATCATTGATATGGCTCCAAAACATCATTTCATAGTGTTTCCTCCATTTTTTAAATTGAAAGCGATTTCAAAGACTGAGAATTCTGTACAGACACACTCAAACACTGTGTTTTCATTACAACTACAATCAGAAAGCTTTACAATTTAAAGGCTACACATGTACGCCACTTTTCCAAACTTCCTCTAGTGCTTTTCAAAAAGGAAAGAATAAAAGAATACGGTTGTCTTACTGAAGTTCCCATTAGGTCCCTGTTCCAAATCAAAACCAGTCAAAACAAGAAATACAAACTGGTTTTGCTTTATGGTTTAAAGGCAACTGTAGTTTGCAGAATACTGAAGTTAGGCCTAATAGGGTTGACATTACAGGAAGGGTAAAAAGTATTCAATAGCTTCTCTCGCACAAACGTCACAAGAAGTAGACAATAGGAGACATACAAAAATGAGTTGTAGCAAAGAGATTAAAAAAATACCAAAGCATCAACCGTAGAAAACCAATGGTAGCCCATATTTCTCTGAGAATACGGAAGGCTGCAGTAATGAGAAGATGAATGAAACAGGCATCAGGCCTCCTACTAGAATACTCTGTGTAGAACACACACGGTGTCTAAATCAACCCGTGTTGATCATCATTGACATTTGCTGCAGGGTAACAGCTTTTTCCGTCACATCCCATTCAGAACCAGAAAGTGATTTTCACTCGAAACAGATACAGATTTAAGACAAAATTCACTTCACTGTAAGCAAAGCTTTAGTGCATGTACTTGGGTCTCAGAAAAAAGATTTGTCATTGGCAATCACACCGAATGGTCACAGGCTGAAACAGGAGCATCTGAAGCTGTGACACCTGTTCCAATGTGCTGGAATCATTAAATAAATAACAGATAGAAAAAACTACAAAATGGCAACAGCATGGACACTTTGGTATTCTAGAACTAGCACTATTTAACATCGATCAAGATCCAAAAGATTCCAATGTCCACCCTTGTTTGATCAGATATTTCTACAATTTTCTGCAATGTTTGTTTTTAGGCTTTTATGAAAAAAACCCCACCGTATATTTTTCTTTTGGTACAAAATATGCTAATATGGAAAACAGTAAACAAAAGGAGACCTGAATCTTATTTTACTATATTCTGGGCTGGCTAGGGAGAGAAGACAAATCCTTACTATTTACTAATAAACTCTACATATCATTTCCTCATTTTTCTACTTCAACATCTCAACCACTGTGTTGTGTACTGTACTATAAAAAGGGAGCATAGAAGTTGAAGACAAATAGGTTACAGAGTACAAACCCTCATTTCTAAAATGACTAAAATGACAATTCTACAAAAGGTACGAATATACAGAACCTTTAAAGATCTCGCATTTACCATGCGAATCATTTCAATCCATTTTCTGGAATATGTGTGATTATCCTCTAAATATTTGATGGCCTCCAAAAGCACCTTGCAAAGCTCTTCAGCAGAGAAGCAAACAAATTCAAATGAAAAAGGAAATAGCTGCATGACATTATCTCTGCAGAGTGGAAGATGAAGCCAGAGTTTTGACATCCATCGGTTAAAGCAATGAATCAAAAGACACTGCCAAGTATAATCACTAAAACACTTGGTCCTTCCCACTAGAGACAGAAAAAAATTTGTGAATTTTTAATTTCCACTAAAAAATTGCAGCTTGAAAGTTTAGTGATTGTTCAGCAAAGTTTTGTGAATTTCTCAATGCTTCCTTAGTCTTATCCCATTTCCACAAATGTGTCATTTTAATCTCTCATCTTACCTGTTTTCCAGACATGTCTGTATTAAGTTTATTCTAGGCTGCTAAGAACGGACTCCAAAAAGCCAGATTTATATGAGATAAGTAAGTCACCGGCCATCAGCTGAACCATGGTAACTGTGTACATGCTTTAGCGCACCATAGATGCAACTGAATTTAAGCCTCAAAGGAAGAGTTTAAATCCACGTTGCATTATGTAACAGTGGGGGTACACTAAGAGCATACATAGCCAGCAATGGTGAATCATCTCAAGGGTTGTAGCCTTGACTGTACATCTGAATCAACACCATACAGCACAGCAGGGGAGGGCCAATAGGGACGAAAGGTCTCCTGCATCTTGCACAGGGATTGTTTTTGGGAACTGCTCTCTGTCCTGATATCAACAACATTACAGTACTACTGTATGTTCTGTATGTTGTGTATGCTGACAGTTCAGAGCAACATTCCGTCCCCATGTAAGAGAAAATATTTTGCCAGAATGCCATTTTCGTAACCATCTTTGCAGAAGGGAAATGGTCCAGTGGAGGTAGCAATCAACACCATGAAAGAGGTGTGTTTAAACTGTTATTCTCAATGACCATCTTAGCAGGTCAGATTTCAGAAATTATAATGTTCATTCAATATATCCCAGGACAGTTTTATTTTAAAATCTTGGTATCATCTTGACAGTAATTACTAAACAACTGCTACTTCAAATACCGTGGATGGTACTCTTTCTATTGCAATCAGTGTATTTTCACATGTATAACCTGCCCTGCAGATAACTATGAAATCAGAGGCACAGGAGACAAATGAGAAAAATTAAGAGACAGAGAAGCTTTTGGGGGAGAAAGCAATTTAAGTAAGATTCCCGTGCTCCCTCAGATATATTCATGGACATATAAGCTAGGCAGCTGCTGAATGACAAGGTTACCTGGCTTTTTTAAAACATGCTCTGTGGGTAGTAAAACTGACAGCTCTTCTACAATTTACAATTTTTCATTCGTCTCTCCTTTATGGTCAACTGAGTCGAGCTACTATTTTCATTCATGCTATTCTGCCCTTACCTTTAGCACATTTTTTGGCAACACCCAAGGGTACCTATGGATAATAAAGGTTTCAGAAGTTTTCAAGACTCACCAGTAGAATAGGACAAATCTCAGATTTTCAAAAGAAAGAAGTGGCAACACACCTTTCTTCAATGAAGTCTGTATAAAATAGAGCATTTGAACATGTTTTATGGCATCAGAAACCATCTATATTTTGCTATTTGCATAGGTGGAAGGAATCAGAAGTATTTCCTGGCTTAGAGTTCCAGCTGAACATCGCACTCCAATCCTTTTGTATATAGAAGACACACATTTTTTTCCTGGTTTGTTCCTTCCTTTTTTTTTTTTTCCCCCCTCTTTTTTTTTTTTTTTTTTAATATATATAAGTCTTTGGTCTATCAGCACATTGGTTCTGTGTGCACATACACAATACTGTTGAACAGTAGGTTGCATAGAGTCTGTTACCCAAGAACCTTGCCTACTTTTGGCACTGCTGTCACATATCACAGAAAAGTGTCCTTCAAGAGTTGTATGATCCTTAGTGTCCTACATCAAACTTTGAACTAGAGACTGGAAGAAGTGTGTATATAATGTTAAAAAAGATGTTTATTTTGGGTGTTACTTTGTCTTCTTTGGGACACAGTTTATAAATCTTGGATGAAAAAGGAGAGCAAAATTATCTTAAAAACACCCTTAATTTTATTTCTAGAGGTGAAGAAATACTGCTGAGCATTCAAAGTTTACTGTGAATTATGTTATGTGAATTTTGCTCAAGTTTTCATGCATTTAAAATAAACTACTTCTAGTAATGTATGACATTCTGCCCTCTCTTCATTCTTCTCTCTCTTTTCAGCCTGCTAATAAAGTTGCAATAATTTTAAGAACAATACCTAGACTGAACTGTGTCTGAGGAAGCAATGAAAAGTTCATTGCTGTTTTTTTCCATTACACCCCTGCTCTCATCCATCTGAATGTGCAAGAACAGTTTCAGGAGTGAGGTCTGGATTCACAATGGTGCACTTGAACAAACACCTTTCCACATGGAATCTCTGCAAAAAGCTAGAATCTGTAGAGGTCAAAACTTGCAAGGCAAAAAAAAAAGTGAGAATGAGTTCATCCTAACTGTTGACATCAATGTTTTTGGGTATTTGCACAACTAAACAAGTCTACTTCTAATGCAATTAACCATCAAATTGAATTTTAAATTATGCTAAAATAATATCCCACAATTACCACATTTTTTCCCCCCGAATTGCTAATTGACCACATTACTTATTATTTAAAATATCAATCCAGTGTTTTAAAACTTTATGTTGGAGGAATGGCCACTGTGATTTCATAGGCAATTTCAAAACCAGCACTTTAAAACACAAAAATAGCAAAAATATCTGAAGCAGATCTAGAATCTACAAAGCTATGTTCTATCTTACTGTAAGTAACAAATCAAGCAACTATTACTTATAGCAGACTCAGCAAAAGCAACAGGGATGGACAGAAGAGATCTGAGGGTGATGCTCTCCACCACTGAGGATCCCAAGAGATAAAGTTTGAGAATGGATATTCCCTTTTGTCCAGAAGTTTCCAAAAGAATACAAAATAAATAATATTTCAAAGACAGTACAAGTGAAAATACTGCTCCCATTGTGTCAGTTACATACACATACAGCATGCCTACGTATACAGAATGGTGTGCTGTCTTCATTCACAAACAGGAAATATGGCAGTGCACTATCAGGATGCTTTGATACTCCTAATTTTTTCTGATGCTGAGATATATGAAGAAACCGCATTCACAACTTATAATTTACTTCCAGTAGCAAACAGTTCATTCTGTTCATGTTTCATGATTGAACCCATGATTTAATGCTCCTCTGAGCAAGTGCCACCAGTAAGATACCCGTTTGTCCCATTGGCACCACCGGTGCCATTAGTAGTGATAGTGCTGTGCGGGGTCTTTGAACGAGGTACTGTTTCTTCCTCATCTGAGCTTGACTCAATGTCACTTCGGTCATCCTTTGCTACCTGTAGAATTTGAAAAAGAAACAAGCAGTAGGAGATTGTGAGGAAACAAAGGAGCTTTTTGGTTCAAGCCAGAATCAGAGAATTCAAGCATTTTTCAATTTGAGCTTTGAAGGCTATCTCAGCTCTGGCACATGTCTCTGCCTTTGCCTGCCTGGACTCACTTCAAACACGGATGCCTGTACACACACATGCCATGTGCAAAGGCAGGGTGAGAACTTTGCACTGATCCACTGAAGGTCAGGTAAGGTCACGCAGACCTCTACCCACTCTCATCCTGAAAATCTGAAAAACTGGTAGGAGTGCATCAGATGAAGCAAAAAAAAGCATCAACAGAAAGAGGTCTGAAGTCTAGGCTGCATGCAGCTTTACAAATGCAGCTTTCCATGCCTGCTTCTACCCTCGTTTGTACAGCTGAGCTTCCTGATTTGTTCAGAATCTTATCTACGCTGTGCTGATTGCCACATTGATCAATTAAAATTGGCTTTACTATAGTGAATGGACATAAAGGGGGCAAAACACATGGCGAGTCTTCTTCACAAAGAAATCAAAACAATTAAAGAACAGGGCCACTACATGTAATTTTTTGCTTACAGTAATCCTCCTCTACTCCAGAAAGCCCTCATGATAATTCTGCTCTCCAGCTCTTGCCTCAGAAACAGCCATTTGACTTTGGGGTTCCCAATGTTGCTACCATCCTTGCAGTATCATAACACCTGAGTGACATTATTCTGCTTGGGAACAGAGAAGAAAGAAACACACTGTTCCCATATACCTCCCAATAAGTAAAATTTTTAATGTCAATGTCTAGTAAGCCTGCAATTCTGACAGCCATGAAACTGGACTTGAGCTAAGGTCAGAAATTTGATTCCATACTTACACAGCTTCAATTAACAGATGACTTCAGTCTCTTTTATATAAAGGACTATATTGAAGCTGTTGGATATACAGAAATACACTTAGAATTATACTTTTATCAGACAGAAGAGGATGAGCCAAGCACAGGGTACTGAGTACCTGTGATTGATGTGAGGGCAGACCAGACGATTGAAAAGTTTTGCATCATCTTAAATTCTCTTAACATATTAGATTCGCTGCCAGTTCTTCTGCTAGGGTCCTACCCCAAAGCCAAACAATCAAAATAAGATTCTATGCTGCAGTCACTTCTATTAAACATGTGATCTGCTCTCTCTATTTTTAAAATGCAGCAACATACCAGGGGTCTTTGCACTTAAAACCTGATATGAATGCAACACATCTTGCAGTACTTACTTCTCTTTGTTTTTCCCCAAAAGAACCCACTGGAGTAATTTCTACAGTAGTTGTCTAGAAAATATATACCTAGGTTTAAAAAACTCCTAAGCATAACAGCAAGTAAGAAATAAGATGATCAGGATTAGTTACAAATTTAATGATAACAAATTGCTTTATCAACTGAACTGTTCCAAAGGTGGATACAAGTAATACAAAAATAAAACAATAATTAAGGATGAAGATCTACTGTAAGATATCTGTAATGTGTTGTGAAAACACTGCTTATTTTACTACAGAAATGCAAAGCACAGGGTTGCAAATGAGGAAGTAAGTTAAGATCTGAAAGAAGAAGGATCCTCCATGTATATGCATCTTTAAGCTGGTCACTGTCTTACTGTGAGTGTCTAGCTCTGCTCTCATACAATCTAAATTTTCTCCCATGCAATTGTTTGAACTACAAGCCAGAGGACTTACACTCTCAAGTATGCTTCCGGAATGGTGACAGAGCAGCTGCTCATCCTGCTGATACATATGTGTAAAAAAGCTTGTAACATAATAGTACCCAGATACTACAAATAGAAGTGGGTTTGAATGTTATTAGGCAAAGCATAGGCAAGAAGTAAAAATGGCCTTTAAAGATAGTCTTCATTTAAATATATAAACACAAACAATGGATAACACTACTAAGCAGAAACTATAAATTAAAAAAAACCCAACACAAACACCAGTATAGGACAGAATAAATCTTTTGCATAGTAAATCTGAAGAAACTTACATGCAAGGGGTTCCACTTCCCAGCCTTCCAGCACAGCACAAGGGAAAGGACAAACAAGCAGAGTAAGAAAGAGTATGAAGCACTCTTTGAAGTCACTGGTGTAATTCAGACAGGGCAGCTGAGGCTAATAATTGCTAAAAGCAGAGGAGACCGAAGTGTGTCTTCCAGGCAAACACAGTTCATGAATGCACTGTCTTTCATACAGAGCAAATGGCAGATTCTGGGCTCCGGTCAGTACAATGCTCAGCTCTCCAGTACATTTATAGAAAGCAGTTTTCTGCAGAATAATCCCATTCACTTTGGGGGCAGGCACATTTCTCACACATCTACTCATGCACTCTTAAGGGCAAAATGCCCTGTACTTTACATGATCTGTAAGCGTTAGTTCTATCATTTAAATGCGAGTGCTGTATCTGCAAAACAAGTGTTATGGGGCTAGCATTTCTGTGAATTATATCTTCCTGTCAAATATAACAATGGCAGCAAGACACTAAATTTTATCCCAAATGGTCTTGCTGTGGGAATCCTTGAAAGAAAGTACATAGCTCTTTGCAGAACCTCTGTAGTACCAAAACCCAAAAGAGGCTGTGATTTGTAACTTTGTCACTAGCAAAGGCAGCAGAATTTAAATTTGTATTATTATTACTATCACTACCAGCTAGGAAATGAACACTTTGCTAACAACTACTACAAAGAAGGAAAACCGAACTGGCAGCCCGAAGAAAGCAGTTTGCTGTGTTGGTTTTTTTTTAATCCATTTTCCCTAATGTAATTTGTTCCAGTGTACCAGGTTATAAAAAAGAAGTGTGGAAACACATATACATACAATCACTATAGAGTATATTATCTTATCTGGCATTTGTTAGAAGGAGTGAAAAAAAGTTTCCATGAAAGAAAAGAAGAGTTTACATAAAACAACATGGGTCTTCAGTAATGTGTTACGGATTAGAAAGAAAAAGTAACTAAAAAGTCATTCACCCTGTATTGATATTGAAAAAGTTAAAATCTTAAACATTAAACAGAACCATGCTGTCTTACCTTGCCCTTTGAAATAGCTTTGTAGGCTGCCTTTATGATTAGGTAAGACCAAAAACAGTGCAGAATTTGAAGAATCACAAGCAGCACGTTGAAGACCCACAAGGCAGGAAAATTGCCCAGAGCTTCATACAGTTCAAACAATGTTGTGTTTAATATCCTAGAAGTGAAAAGAGACAGAAAAATAATAACACTTTCCTTAAGCCAACAATCTAAAAGAAGCCTTTTTAAAATCAAGATGACAAGCACTTGATTAGATGGGATCCACACAGATAGTTTGTTCTCAGAGTAATAGTGCCTTGGACTGAATCACACAGGTGTCTCCAGAGAGAAACAACATCAAAACGTTGCTTTCAATGTTTAACTTCATTTGCAAAGATCACATATAACAAATAAAGATCCTCAGTGTGCATTTCTTCTCTTTTATAAAGCTGGCAGGTGTTGGTTATCTCAAATAACTCCTTTCCTGATTAATAACAAAGATGACTACTTTATTCCATTTTTTAAAATAAAGCTTTTCCATCTCAACTGCCTCCAGCAGGGGTTTGGTGCCCCCATATTAGCACAGGGTAAGAGCACGCTGGAGGAATGTTATACTACAGTGCAACCCACATGCAGTGCAATGTTCTTCAAACCATGTTTCCAGGCTATGACAGTGAGCTGCAACGTCTCCCATGTTACACGAGACAAACCTGTACCAAGAGCTGGGCAATGCTCCCTAAGTACTCCTGTTTGAAGCCCCCGCTCCCAAACCCAATCTCAAAGCCGGCGGGTTTGTTTCAGTGTAGACAGCTATGGATGCCTTTGCCATGTTGGTATCAGAAATGCGAGTGACTGAAAACAGTCTGAGATCATTCAATTAAAGTGAGACTTCAGCAATATGTGAAACAATGGCAAACGCATGGCAGGATCCAGCCTCTTATGGGGTTTTCTCAGAATGAGGGTGGATTTGGCTGTGTGTCCCAACATAAACTCTTATTTAGTGGAAACCTCAGCACCAGCAGGTATCCGAAGTCAAACTAATTGACCAGTCAAGGGTCTTAACCCTGGGTCTTGAACATCCTGGGTGCCTGTGCTAACCACTAAGGTACTGGGTAGCTCTGGTGGCCACCTTTTGCACAAAATCCAATTTGCACACCATTTATGTACAAGCAAGAGTAAGGTTTAGCAGTTACATAAAGGACAGGTGGACAATAGGGATATTTGGAGGTGTCAAGGGTTGGAAGACCTTATGGTGGACTTTCAATACATAAAGGGGGCTTATAAGAAAGATGGGAACACACGTTTTTGCAGTGCCTGTTGCAACAGAACAAGCAGGAAAGAGGGTAGATTGGGGCTAGATATAAGGAAGGAATTTTTTATGATGACAGTGGTGAAACACTGGAACAGATTGCCCAGAGAGGTGGTAGATGCCCCATTCCTAGAGGTGTTCAAGGCCAGGCAGGTGCCCCATCCCTGGAAACATTCAAGGTCAGGCTGAATCTGAGCAACCTTATCTAGCTGAAGATGTCCCTGCTCATTGCAGAGGAGATTGGGCTAGATGACCTTTAAAGGTCCCTTCCAACCCAAACTGTTCTATGATTCTATGAAATTCGGGCAGTTCTAGGCATTTGAACCACGTTTTTGAGAATCAACATTTCAGATGCAGGCAGTAACAGTGATGTTACAATAAGACTTCTGAAGCTTTGTGAATACACCACTAATTATTCTGCCCAAATACTCTGCCATAGCAGATGATTTCAATCTGGACCTCAGCAAACAGCCCGAGAGCACAGAGTGGACAACAGACAGTAGAAACAATGGCATTTCTGGAAACAAATAATGATCTATGAATGCCTGTTAATGAGTGGGAGAAAAAGAAGGCAGTATAAGGATTTGTCAACCTCCATCCATTTTCCAGCTGGTGTAAAAATGCATTAAGAAGTCCATTGGCTTTACGTTCTTTTTCTTTTTTAAAATTAACTATCACCCGCTAGCCACTAGATGGCAGATTTAATCAAGCAAACGACTGCACAGCTCTTGGGCTGCATCAGCTTTGACTGAAGGCAGGAGATGTCTCTGAGGTCCTGTAAGGGTTTCAGAACAGCACAACTCTCATAAGCTACAGATACTGGGTTCAGCTTTTTAATAACCAATCTCATTTGCCACAATCCTTTCCAACAACATAAAAATCAGCTCAAGTAGTACTAATAAGAAGAATATACAGACAGCAAATCCAGAATACCACATTTAACATTAAAGATTTATGTGTATAAACAGCATCGGTCAAAAATCAACCAGTGATTTCTAATACACTGGCCTTAATACTATGGGAGATTTAATAATAAATTTTCTAGCTTTTTTTTTTTTTGCCTTTTTACACTAAACTGCACGTTTGCTTCATAATTTATTGAGAAGTGGATGTTTAATAACGTTAGTATACAGCTATGTTTTTACACTGTCTTCTGTTTATGGAGCAAACATCAGAAAAAGAAACTGTTTTCCAGTTTGCAAAAACCCTGTCATATTATTGCTCCTGTCAGCTAAAACTCTTCAGTCGCAGCTTTGTGTAATTTGTTCTGCCAATGGTAGCTCTACGTGGCACACCAATACCCCACTTTATAATTCAAGGAGATCCTTTCATGCATATCAAAACACAGCTGTAGTCAGCACTGTTTTACTTCACCAGTACTTATTTCAGTTCTAACCACTATATCAAATTCAAACTTGAAATCAATAACTCCTGTATGTAAAGCTACCATTGCCTTTTTTAATGTCTATAATTTTATATGCTCCAGATTTATAAATGCAATTTCTACAGGTTTCTGTTTTTATTTTCATTCACTGGACCAAATTCACCTCTGGGGACTTCCATAGGAGTCAAGTCAAGAAAGCAGCATTAGAGATGCAGATGGTCCTATTTCTTCCAAAATACCAGGAAGATGGCAAGGCCAAAAAGAGCGCTCTGGTTCCAAAAGCAGTTTCACCATGCAAATGACTCATCAACTGTGTATTAGACATGGGAAATAAGACTTTGTTGAAAAAGCAGACCTCTTTCTAACATGCTCGTGTCTGGCAAACTAAGGACAGGACTGGAACTCTCCATTAAAGCTGCACAAAGGATTTCCCTAATTGCACAGCAATGCTAAGAGGGGTCAGTGACTTGATGTGCAGGCTAGGTGTGCAGATGGAGCTAAGGCTGCATCTAAGCAGGCAGGGCTGTGCAGAAGCTAAATGAAAAATACAGAAAACTATAAAAAAAAAAAAAGGAGGAAAGCAAATAAACTTTCTCTCTCAGAATAAGTGAATTACTTCATGCCAAAAGTCTGAAATGGGGGGAAAAATCATAAGGTTAGTGGGCAGAATACAGAGAGAAATTCTACTTGCAGAGACTGAGGAAGGGAGGGAGGGGAGAAAGGTTTGACAACTTTCCACCAATTCTGCTGCTGAAAGGACTCAACGGAAGCATTTTAACCAGCTACACAAATAGCAGGGACTGGAAAAAGCAGCATGAGAATGGATTACATGAAGGAGAAAGCGCCTATGGGATGTATATGCAAATAAATCTTAGGTTCAAATACTCAGAAAGGCAGTCAGGCACTTAAATCTGCAAATGTGCTTGCTGGAATTTTTCAAAGCTCTCCAGTGGTTAAATCCTAGCTTTTCATAATGAATGGTGGAAAATTTGATCCTTGGCTATCTGACTTGAAACAGCTGGACTTGATCTCACAGGGAGAAATTACTTTAAGCTGCAAGTGCTCTACCCCTCTGAAAAATTTGGTCAGCATTTCTCAGGTCTCTGCAATTTGAAACACAATGTTAGCTTCTGCTTTTGAAAATAGGTTCTGAACTGTAGCAATTTTTCTGAGACCTGAAACATTTTTTAGCTGGACAAAACAACAGAATCTCATGGAAGGTATTTTTTTCTCTTCTCTCATTAAATACATCCCAGGTGGGGTTGTGCACCAGGCTGTGTGAAGCTCTCAGTTTTGCATTTTAAATTACGTAGTGTGGCTGATGAAGGCAAATGACAACAAATTCACCACTTAAAATCCAGTCTACTCTTATAGAAATCTATGGTAGAGTTTCAGTAAAGCTGCCACAGTATCTGAGCTACTGGGAGAAGTAACTCTGTATTTACTGTGCGACTGCTCTCATTGAACCCTCAGAATACAATTACTACATTTTCAACAACTACTAAACAGTCAGCTGCATCACATCAACAATAGCACAGCTTTCTTCTCTACCATCTAACTCTTTGTCTAGCCATCTAAGCAGTACTTGGGAGGCTACCAGCAACAGGCCCATACACCGGCTCAGAGAAGATTACACTTCCTCCCGTCAACTTAGCAGGCACAAGTCCAGGCTCTTGGATAGCCATTACTAATTCTTGGCAAGTTGATCACTTGTCTTGCACCAGGGATGGAATGAGAAAAGGGAGATGAAGGAAGAGAGATAAAGGAAGAGAGGGATGGGTGGAAGAGTAAAATACTTATTTACATTTGTCTGAGAATTGGCAAACCTGTGCTGTGTTTGTTTCTGAAAGGATCCTGAAAGGAATGAAAGGAGGTGAAAAAGAAGGGCACATGGAAAGAGTAGGCATTCTTCCAGACAGGCAGGAAATTCATGATAAACTCTGCAGAATGAAGCATAGCAGGGTGATGGGCACTGTTATCACATCTGACAGAAGCAGAAACTGTGCAGCTGAAATGAGCGCTACTGCATGTTGCCTTAATTTCTGCAGCACTGTCCTGTTCAGTGGCCAACATACTGTGCGTACAATATGCTGAATGAAAGGCATGTCGTTACCACAGCGCAATAGCCAGGAGTTTTAAAGTATAACCAAGGACAGCAAAACATTATACCAGCTTGTCCAAATAATTTAGAATAAATGTATTCATCTCCCTTACGGCGTATATTAGACAACAGACAATTCTGTACTGCACCGTAACCACCTGCACTAGGACATCCTTCAATACTGCATTCACTATAGAGCAAATAGACAATTGCATCTAGGTGGGCATTAATGAAATTCAGATCCTATTTAGTGCTAGAAATACAACAATACTTCAAAGTAGCCAGCCAGCAATGCTTCGAAGATTCTGCTTTTTTTTTTTTTTAATTTTACCTTTAAAAAAACCCCAATTGCACTTACTTCTGCTCCAAAACATAGTAGTTTAT